GGAACCGGATCCCTTCCCGCGCCGGGGCGCGGAGCGCGGCCACGCGCGCAGGGAGGCTTGGGGAGGCTGCACGAAACCCCCCCACAGGGCAACTTGCGCGTGGAGGCCGCACGGAACCTGCAGGGCCCCCGGGGCTACGTGYAGATGGAGGCCCGGGGAGGCTGCACGAAAGCCTGCGAGACCCTCCGGGCCATCTGCGCACGGAGAACCGGGGAGGCCACACGAAAGCCCGCAGGGCCTCCATGTGCGCAGAGGCTTGGGGAGGCCCCGGGCCTCCATGCCCCTCAGGGCCCCCGGGGAGGCCGCACAAAAGCCCGCAGGGTGCCGGAGGCCAGCTGCACATGGAGGCCCGGGGAGGCCGCACGAAAGCCCATGGGGCCCCGGAGGCCAGCTGGACATGGAGGCCTGGGGAGGCTGCATGAAAGCCCATGGGGCCCCGGAGGCCAGCTGTGCACAGAGGCCCGGGGAGGCCGCACGAAGGGTCACAGGGCCCCGGAGGCCAGCTGTGCACGGAGGCCCGGGGAGGCCGCACGAAGGGTCGCAGGGCGCCCTGCTTCACGCGACGCTCCCCTGTCTCCCTCACGAGGCACCGTTCACTTCTCACCCACTCCAGTTCTGGCTTTTCTGGGCAGCGCTGCCGCGTTTCGACATCAGAAGCCTCCTCGGTCACTTCTTCCCTGTTCAGGCACCTCATGCATTGTTAGGACCCTTTCCTTTCTGCTCACCAGCTCGTTCTCTGCTGCTTTTCTCAGGGCTGCCTTCTACATCTGCCCCGTTCATTTGATTGTTAGATAGCCCTTCCCTCCCCACGGTGTGCATATGGGGTCAGTATTTTCTTCTGGTCATTCTCTCCTTTTCCCTAAGTAGCAACTGCTTTTCTCGTACAGTTACAGTTTGTTTTCCAGATCGTCATATCATTTATCTTTCCCACAGAGGTTGAGGGTGGTCCTCCACCCGGAGGCACTCTAGAAGCTGCTGCTGCAGTTAAAGACATGATTAAAGTGGCTCTTTTGGTAGTGAGACATGATTAAAGTGGCTCTTTTGGTAGTATGAGCCAAGCTGGGGCCTGTAGACAGCAAAGGGCGGTAACAATGGTCTAAATAAAGTGCTTGGACACACCTTGCATTGCAACAGCTTCCTCCTGGGCAAGGAAAGAGCCATCGGGAGCCTCGCACAGGGCTAAGGAGAGACTAGAAACTTGAGCTATGCCGCACCCAGAGAAGCTAAGTCCTCGTTGTCCCCGAGCATCAGCTCCCTTAGCCAGGAGGTTACTGCTGCCCCCAGTTTTTTTTTCCCCTAAAGGAATGGGGAAAAATTAATAAAGTGGTGGGAGACATTGGAAGAAAACAGAAATGTTGCTGTTCCCCTCCGTCAGCCAACGCGTGTTMCCTAGGAACAGACACACACCTCTACTGGGGCCAGTTCTCACGGAGCACGGGATGAGCGTTTATTGTCTTGGGAGCAGGAGGAGAAAGGAAAGAAAACACAGAAACTAAAATCAGAGCCTCGCAAGCGACACCAGCCATCGCACGCGCACACACTGCTGACTGACACCAGGAGCCTGGGCYGGGCTACCGGCGTATGGAGTCCTAGGAATTTAATGTAAACATTTAAAACCGTACGGAGGAGTCTGAAAAACTGAGGCACGGCCATGCAGGCAGCAGTGGGACAGTGCTCTGAAATTACAGCTTCTGGCACTATGAGGGTTGGCGATGGGGTGAAGAGTTAGTAGATGGATCCAATGCCGAGAGGTTCACTTAAGTTCTTGGAAATTTCGGCAGAAGGTTGCGGCAGGTCCTGATTTTGRTGTCTGGCTCCAGCTTTCCTGCTTTGTCCTTCTGCCCATCCAGTGTTTTCCATGCAGCTGAAGACAGGTACTTGGATCATCCAGGAGGAATAGGAGAAGCAGGATGCCGAGTCCCACGGCCACGCTTCTCCTGTCAGCTCCTCGGAAAATTCCATCGGAGACACCAATGACTTCAGACACAACAATGACTTTGGAAAAAAAATGGCAAGAAGCCCTAGGGGGGCCCGAGCCGGAGGGAGCCTCGTGGGGAGGCGCAGCAACGTTCTGCCTCCCAACGCGGCAGGGCTCCGGTTTGGCCCCACTGGACCGAGACACCACACGGCACCTTCCGTCCCCGCTAGTGCAACTGCATTTCTAGGGAGTTCATCAACAGGCTGTTGTTGCATCACCCTCCGACGGCAAGCGACAAAGAAAACGTACAAATTACACCTGACGCGAGACAAGAAGGCGCCTAAAAAGCTCAGCGACGTGGTCATATTTTGCTAGAAGGCTCAAGCGTCTGCAGCTAAAAGCAGGCTGGCACTCGTCCCGTCACGACGGGGCAATGTTGGGCACTATGGTGCTGCCCGAGGGCGGGCGGTGCTGCCGCCCACCAGGACGCGCCGAGCTCTGCCCAACGCTCGCTTTGGCTTTGGCCCTAGTAGCCAAGGCGTCACGCAGGTTCCAAGCTGGACTTCCCGGAGTATTTACAGTAGGACACAGAAAAAAAAGTAAGAGAGCAAACGGGAAGTAGTGAGTGGAAAAGTCGTAGTGAGTGAGTAGTAGTAGTTAGTAGTGAGTTAGTAGTGAGGGGAAAAGCCGTGGAAGGAACAGTTCTCCTTCATGAACTAGTGTTTTATTAGATAAGGCACATGTAGAGACAATCTTCCAAAAGCCACTTGCACAATAACTCCTTGGACGACCTCCCTGACCCTTCCCAGGAGCCAGTTTTGCTTCCAGCTGCTCTGTCAACTTGGAGCAACTCCCCCTGCACTGCAACACCCTCAGCATCCCATCCAGGACAGATAGGCTTTGGGTCTGACCAGCAGGTTGCATTCAGGGTGTCCAAAGTGGAGCACTTGGTCCTTCACAGGGTCAATGGTTGATATCTTCAGAGCTGAAGAGTCTGAGCACTAACTCCCTATAAAAATAACGGGAGCTGACCTTCCAGTTTTAACAGGTTTGGGAGAAAAAAAGAAAAATAAATGAAAAAAAAAATCACAGCTTGCTCTTAAGGGAGATGAAGGAAACTGCAGCATTCGCTGCTGGGATCACTGTAGGATCCATGGAAATGGGATGGCTCCGTCTACAGGAGTCCTGATGCAAACGCACAGGATGAAACTCAGCCACTTCTCAGGGAAAACATTCCCTCCTTCCTCTTTGCTTCCTGATGCTTGGGGGAAGAGGAGAAGCTCTCCCTACCTCTGGGTGGCAGACGAGGGCTGTATGGCACGTACCGGGTCTGCGCGGCCAACGGCCGGCCGTTCTCGGCGCTAACAAATCTTCCTCTGTCTAGCAGACAATGCAGTGCAGCACATTTGGATTTTAATCACCTCGGCACAAATCAGAATTAAATCTATTGGTTGTTAAAAGTATTACTCCCAATGGGGCCCGAGTGTTGGTATTGATGGCTATCCCACACGTGACTGCTGGCTGGTAGTCCAGGAAAAAARGGGTTTTCAACAGTTTCCAGCTGAGAATTTGCCGGGTCAGCACCTTGACAGGCTGCAAGTGGAATTTAAACAGCCCAGAGATCTTGTGCTGCCTACGTGTACAAGGGTGAATGTCACCCAGGCAGCCAGATCCAAAGCCCAACATCAGTCAGTTTGGCAAGAGGTTGAGGTGGGCTTTGAATCGGGCTTTTAGGGAGCAAGCAGCAGCCAAACTGAGATGAACCTGCACCCCTGAAGCACACAGATGCAGCAGAACCTTTTGGCAGCAGGGAAAGCAAGACGTCTAGCACAACAGCAGCTCTAGCCAGACAGACACTGATTCTCCTGGCTGTCACACCTGAACAACACGCAGACCAAGCGTCGTTACCTAAAGGATTCGTCACCAGAGAACACAAACCCAAAGAGGTTGTGGACTTCAACCAACACCTTCAGGATTGGTAGGTACCAAATAATTCAAGTGCTGTGTTTCCCTCAGAGTGAAAAATTCCAGATTATTCATCCTGGAAAGTAAATTCCAGTTGCTACTACGGCTCGGATTGCATTGGGATTTGGCGGTGCACCTTGCACTTGACGAAAGCTAAGCAGGGAGGCAGGAGGAGCAGTTCTGGTTGTGTTCCCCATCATAGACAAGTCAGTCTTTTCCAACGGGATGGTGAGAGAATTCCCCAAAGCAAGGGCAGCAAATGGTTGGTTCTTCAGTCTGCGACAAGGCAAGTACTGGTAACTGAACACGAAGCAGAACTTTCTGATAAGGCCGTGCAGAGCTCTGGAGGTGGCGTGGGCTGAGAGCACACACCTGCAGTGATGAGATGGAGACAAGGAAACACCAAGAGAGTCCCCAAGATGTCTGGGGAAGGGGGTGGGAATGCAAATGATCTTTTCAAATAATAAAAAAAAAAAAAAAAAAAAAAAAAAGAATCCAGGCAGTTTTGCAGCTTAAGGCCATTGGTTTCCTGGGGGATAGTTTGGCACCGTGGGATACTCTGGCAGGCTGTTTCCAGAAAAATTGTTGTATTGGGCCTCCCTGCTGGGGGGGTTCCTCCATGTGCCGCTGTTCCATTCATCCTGAGCTTTCTGAAAGCTCCCACCAGCCCCTCGGTAGATTTTGTGTACCTAGAGATAAACAAGAGAACAAGAAAGTCACTAACAGGTACCTAAACCTCCTCCTGAAAAGACCTATACTCGCTGTGGTTCTACATCATGTATCTGGTTCTCTCTCTCGAGCTATATTTCCAAAGAACAGAAGCACTGGAAAAGTAGGAATACAGCAGACAGAAGTGCAATGTAGATAACATCAACTCAAAACTTCATCCCACTTCAGCCACCCGCCTGGGATTCAGACACAGGAACCCACAGATGCATCTGGCAGCCAACCCCGAGTTATGTGCTGAAAAACTCTTTGATACCAAAACTGCTGCTTCAGCAGGGCTGACTGATGGACTTGGCTGTGGTCTAAGAAAAAAAAGTATAGCTGATATCCATGGATGTAAAAAGAAGATACCTTAAAAATCACAGCACCATGCAATGTCCCAAAGGACARAGAGCAGTGACACTGGTCTGATGACAAGAAGGTGACAGGCTTCTATGAGCCTGCAACAAACACCACGGTGGCAACTGCTCTGAGACAGTGTTTGTTGGGCTAATGGCTGGTGCTCTTTTCCTTTTGATTCCTCTCATCCCCTACAGTTTACTGAKGCTTTCCACACAGCCTTACCTTGGATGAGGGCTCTCCAGACCCTTCATTCTGCAGAAAAACAAGGACCTTCTCCCACCCTTCCACTCAGTTCCCATCACAGGGACCTCAAGATGCTTTGCCTTTAGAAGTAGCCCAATAACCAGCAAAGCTCAACTGATGTAAARGAACAGGGCTACACGAAACAATGAGAACATTCAGCTCCCATCTCCTTCCCTTGTTTGGATTTGTCCCCAGGTATTCTTTGAGACATAAACTGACTACATTTTAAAAAAATCCTTTAAAGGCAGTAAGAGCTTAGTACAGCGTTCACATTACTGTGGTACGAAGCCCTGCTACCCCATGGCAGGGAGACATCTGAAGCACCTACCCTTAAAATGCAGAAGAGCATCGCGACTGCTGACATTGTAAACATGACGGCAGGAAAGAGCATGAACACGGCGGCTGCGACGTTGGTGCTAAAGAAAGTCACGGCTGCCAACCATCCGCTGGGGGAGACAGGAAAACACAGAAGCATTAGATCTCTTCTAAGCCTATTTATTATCAGAGAGACTGTTTATTCACATGCAGAAATCACATGAAGCAGTTTTAAAGTTCTTGAAAATTAAAAGAGCAACGAAGATGATGGCCAGAACTACATGTAGCTCAGGTAGCTGTTTCTCCACCTAGATCTAACTTGCAAGCATCTCTGGCTAATTCYCTCTCAGGTCTTAGGGAGCAGCCAGCTGTGCAGGGAAACATTAGGGAGAGCATAGTTATCCTCAAAATGCTTTCAGTTGTGCAAAGATCTTGTATTTAAGGAACAAAGCTGGGAACAAGGAGCACAAGGATCTTAGGATCTGCCTCTCCATTGCCCATGATGGTAATAACCAGAGAGGGAAACTTAGGAGCATCAGCTCCCAAATAGGAGCATCAGCTCCCAAAAATGCTACAAAGACTGCTAGAATTCCCTATCATTTATAGCTTCAGCAGGACTTGCTCTCAAGTCTCTAGAGACAGAAAGTTAAAATGCCAAACAATTATAACCTAATCAGGGACAGGCTCTGAAGAGCTTCTGCTTATTTTAGGACAACTCTCGCAATCTTGCTCTAGGAGCCACCAGGGAGTCACTGCTCTGCACTGCTCGCCATGCGCAGGAGCATGGAACACAGGAACTCTTGCAGTTAGTAGCAATGGCAACAGGTAAAATTATCCTCTCCAAGCAGAGTTCTGCCATAGGGGAAGCCAGAGAGCTTTCTCCATCTCATGCTGTACAGACCCCACTGGTTTTCCCAAAGTTCATGGAAAGAGAATGAGCTTGAAACTGCAAGCTGCAAAAGGCAAGTGTGGAGCCACACGATGCCAGCAGGGTCCCACTTACCACGCTCCCCATCCTGAGAAACCGATTGCTTGGAGGACCGCGAGGACAAACTGCGCGCCAAAGATGAAGAAAAAGGCCATGAAGTTGAAGGAGCTGTCCGACCTGTGAAGGAAGAGAGGCAGTCAGGAGAACTGCACCTCGCCGTGCTTCCCACTACGACGCTGGACTCCATCACGTACAGAACACCCAAGAGTCGTATCTCAGAAACAGATCCCTCCATAAGGACTGCATCCTGGGAGGACTGCTACCCTTGCCCAGCAGCAAAAGTGCACAGATTCCTGAATCACCTGCTCCTAATATCTTCTGATAAGTAACTACCTGTGGTGACACAGGTGGAGAGGCAGCTCCTGCGGAAGGGACAGCGCCTGAATCATTTTCAGGTGCGAGGGGCCCTGGGCACTGAGTTTGCCCCTATGCTAAAAGCCACAGCTGGCATGAAAATCCCAGCTGGGAACGCCTCAGCACCATCAAGCTTACGTGCCTGCGGTTAATAATCCAGCACTGGGACAAAACAAGAAGAAAAAAGTTTCAGTGGACACTGAAGAGGCCTGCCTTGGGGTGATACYATCTGGAGAAGGGCGGAAGACACAGTTTGCATGTCCACAGGTTCCACATCTTTAGGATGTGTGGGCTGAGAGGGTTCTGAATACACGAGGGCCTGTAACGTAAGCAAGCGTGCTAGGCAGTGTGAATATAAACCCAAAGGAGGAGGCCGAGCAGATGTGTTCACGGCCTCCCCGTCACGGTGCGCGGGGATGCGGCACCGCAGCCGCTCCTCTCCGTCCCGCTAAACCTGCTCCCTTGGCACGCGAGGCTTTCCCTGAGCGCCCGCAAGCCCCTGAAGCTCCCCACACCAGGTCACCTCTCCCTGTTTGTGATTCTTCCCATCATCTCAGGGACTGGAAAGGCCTGCAATCCCTGGAATGGATTTACAAGGACACTTCAGTAGCTAATGGGACAGTTTGTTCCAAGGAGGCGTTTACAAAAGACCATTTCCAACTTTTACAAAAGGCCATTTCCAGCTCCCGTCAAAGTCTGAAAGTTTTTTAATGTTTTTTGTAACTCTGGCCACTAGTGCCTAAAGCTGAGATGAGGAGGGCAGGACTACAGGCTCTAGACAGGTCAGTGTCATGGGCTCTGGCTAGTTTGAAATGTGGGAAAACCTGCCAGATCTTTGTGTGTTCGTTTACAAACACTCGTCTACCTAAATTAGGGGAGGCTCTTACCTTCCATCTTTCAAAAGCTAATTACTTACAGAGATGCTGCGCAAGAAGCTGGCCATCCCCGAGCATCTTCATGGTCCTGCCCTTCAAATATCACCTCAGAGCACAGCAACGTGAAAGAAATACTTTTAACATGGACYGTTGGGAGTAGTGCCTATCATAATCCAGTTAACAAAGGATTAGGTTCTAGGCTGAGCCTTCAAACAGACYCTTGTGACTAAGACCTGAAAGGGCTGGAGGGGCTCCATTTCAAAGGATGTATGGGAATTAGCAAGGAGACACAGAAAAGGTGCTTTCTGATCCAGCTTTCGCGTGCAAATTGGCAATAGCTCTGCCCTAGTGCCAAAGCTCTGCAGCTCATTTAATTTGGGATGCAGAGGTAGGATGAAGGCTTTAGGAAAGCATCCTCACAGAACATGACACTGGTATTTAACAGATGCTTCTTCCCAAACGAGCACAGCAAGCGGGTCTGACCCAGCTTTCTTGAATCAAGACTACCTGCAATTCCATACAAAAGGCTGCTGCCCCATTGCAGTGATTTTCAAGCCTTTTCTACAACTAGTTTTAAACTCGGTGATCCCTGGGCWTGTCACTGTCTCTAGGGCTTGTTCTTTTATTAACTGTAGAAGGCTGCGTGCAAAGTAACCTCCGGGACCTCTCAGAGTTCASCTGCATAAAGGCAAATACAAACAACACTAAAGAAATTATTAGAAATGGTCCTTGTGAAGTCTGGAGAGGTCACTAAGGAACTGTAATTTTTCCCAGACTTTCAAATGGAAAGTGCTCTTGGAACAGAGCTCTGCTATGTGCTCCGTGTCCCTSAGGCTTCTGGGCTAGGGATGGGGACAAAACCCCAGCTCCGTAGAGCAAGAGCTCTGTTTTYATGTCCTCTAAAACTTTCAGACGAATCCAATCCCCTGCCCTGTGTTTCCTCCAGAAATAATCCTCCCCGTGCTCTGTAATGTGCACTAATGCACTGAGGTTTCAAGCACCTCCAGTGAATTAACTGTCCAGAGTTGTTAGGTTAGAGCGTGAATGCAGGAGAGCATTTAAGCACCTAATTTAGCACGTGCTCATTTCCTCTCACAGACAGGCCCTGCGGCTGCCAACTCCCATCTCTATCAGCTGCTTTTGCTCTTTTCTAAATTAACTCMTCACTGAAACAGATGAATAATCAAAAAGCCGAGTATTTTGATAACAGGGGGCTGGAAGGCTTCACCTTCAGAGCCCAGGCCCATGCTTCTCATGCTCRGATCCTTCACAGCTCTATTAGGCATTAATGTCTGGATATTACCTTGTGATGCCCAGCAAGTAAATGGAAATGATTACGAAAGTAAAAAATTAAGATGACTTTAAATATTTGTGCAGTTTCAGATGGACTGGACGTAAAGAGCTGCCTTTATCTTAAAGACWGAGCAGCCAACTTGGATCCCAAACATAGGGAGAGTTTTCAGCTGCTGATAATTTATTAATCTTCCATCAAAATAAGTCTCAGTGAAGTTTTACCAAATTAATAATCCCCTTAAAGCTATGCTGATATCAGGGTGATTCTAAAACTGAGATATTTCAATAAAATCTGAATTTCATGATCACAAAAACAGCAAACAAGTCAGTGCTRCTGATTTCCAAGCAGCCAAGTGGCCCTCAATCTCACATCTAGTATTTAAAATTAGCTTAAAAAACCACTTATCTGAATAAACAAGATATTCAGATACCAAGTCCTTAACCCCAGACAGGCAGCTTTCCATACGGGCGCTCACTGCCCAGTGCCACCACGTGTCTCTCCTAAAGGAAAGGGAAGCAAAACCACCCGGGGAGCTTCTTACCGAAAGGCTTTGTAGGCAGGTCGGAACCAGCAGACGTAGCCGCAGGGACTGAAGAGAAGGAGCCAAAGGATGGCGAGGCCAAAATTGACCCCGTAGCCRCCCCCGATCCACCACGCCAGGCAGGCGATGACGTTCACGGCGAGCGTGATGCAGTAGACTGCAGAGAGGGCACAGACAAGACCGTGAGGTTGCACCATTTTGCACCAAGGAACAACCATCCCGCCTTATGAGACGACAGGAGCGTATCCCGGCGGGAAGGTCATTCCCAATAAAGCAACTGCCCTCTGCGCATTAAGGGAGTGCTTTTGGCTGTGACCCACACGTGCAGAAGCACATCCATTCGCAGCGGAACTGTCACAGCAGAGGGACAAGGAAACCTCRTGGATGTTTTTTACAGGAATCGTATCAGTTAGCACTGCCAAGGAGATGTGAAAGAGCAGAGGGTCCCAACACGGCAGCCACTTCAATATTGTCTGCTGACAAGGTCAGAGCAACTCTTTGGACCCTGGCCCCACTCGCTCGGGCAAAATTAACCTCCCAGGCCTAGGAAAACTTGTGTTTAAAATACCCTAACCCTCCGGAGGGGTTAGCACTAGGGCTCTATGTGCCATCTCTAGCACGGGTTAACATTTGGGCATGAGGGCTAGGAGGGATTTTAATTATTTTGATTTAATTTCTATGCTAATTAGCTGCATTTTGTCAAATGCTTACCTTCACAAGCCTCTCTAAAAGTTACCTAACAATAAAATACTGAGAGAGGAACTTCAAGCCAAGCTCTAAGGAACTTCTGGCTCTCTGGATGCCTCAGGGAGGAGTTCAGCTGCCAGTAGTGGGAGCTCTGGTACAGGTTTCCCCACATCACCACCTCCCTTCACAAACTGGTCAAATCCAATTAAAGTAAACAGCTTTCCCCTTGTAGCACTGAATTAYGTGTTTCTGTTTTTTAATACTGCCCTTTTCTTGCTTACCATCTTCCCTCCGTATGTGTCTATTCCCTCTACTCCGTCCTCAAAAATCTGGGAGATCCCAGATGAAAATGGGCAGCAGATGGAAAGTTAAAGCTCCTCAGGAAAATTAGGACTCCTCAGGCACCCGTATGACCAGTTGCCTGCAAGTTTGGCACCTTTCCATCTTTCCACTAACTTGACTGAGGGGCACTTTGTTTAAAGAGCCGCCTGCAACGACAGCTTTGCAGCCTGCAACGTTTAACTCGTTCGGCCGGAGGGACAAGCAGTTTCTTCAGGCAAGAAAATTACAGAGCTCATTTCAGCCTCTGTAACAGAAGAACAATGAAGTGATAGATTGTGCTATTATTTTTGTACACAAAACTCCCTCATACACACATACTTAATGGCTGGAATAAAAGCCTGGCCATTGAACATGTATTTTGCAGAAAACAAGTTCTCCTTCAATGCAAGGGGTAAATACAAGGATAGACATTTTGGGAAGGAAAAAAAGGGGGAAAAAAAAAAAAAGGCAAAATGATTTTAATCATGCAAAGCATTTCCTGTGGTTCCCCAGGCCTGCTGCAAGGTTTTTCAGGCAGTTTCTTCTCTTGGAGGAGGATAGTTCATTTTTATGACTGGGTTTTGCAGAGCTCAGCAAGACAACAGAAGTTCAGAGACCAGGAGGTCTATTCCTACCAAATATCAGCAAATAGATAGTGGTGGCAAGAGAATCGACTTCCCCTCTAAACTCAGGCTAAGAATATTTAACACTTAAGGACAGCTAAGGAAGAAGCAGAGTACATCTCTCTTTAGATCATGCCTAGCCTGGATGGGGAAACGTGTGGATCATTCAGGATCATATAGCRGGTGGTAATGAACATGAGCCACAATAATATTCTTCCCTAAAATTCTCCTATTCCTCCTTCTCTAAGTGCATTGGGAATTACTTTAAGAGGACTATTTGTTGGAGTAATATGTTACTTGATATCACTAAGGGTTTCTAGTGTGGCCTTTTTATCTCCACAAATTTACTAATAGCCCTTTTCAGCACCAGTACTCACCATTTTCTTCAATACCAGCTTTGCAACAAAAATTCAAGGCATGACAGCTTAAAATTTAGGCATAAAGGTAGGTACAGCATTTTAAGGGCAATTCTCAAAAGCTAATTGCAGTCAAAACAACCATAAAGTGCATAAATAAGGATTTATGTTTCTCTGTTATACCTATGTAATTCCCCCTGCATAGCTTTCTTGTTCAACTTACAGATCCAAACGTGGTAGATTCTCTTCACCAGGGTCTGATAATCGATGGGGATTTCATCGGCAAAATTCTGGTAGAAACAGGGTTTCAGAGGGATAAACTTGGGGAGCGGCGGGAAGTTGTTCACCTTTTCTACAAAGAAGAACACAGAGATTAGCTGAGCACTGAAACCTTCTTGTGTCAGTGAGTGAGTGTGAGGTCCCCTGTGCTTCCCTGGTGCACAAAAGCCCTGAGGACCCCTATGGTGAGAAGACTCAGAAGAACTGGGACACAAATTTCTTCTTCTTCCTCTTGCTTAGGAGTAGATACATTTAGCACAGGCCAGGCTTAAAGCAGGAACGAGAAACAAGATCATGACTAACACACAGATTTGCTAACTTGAAACATTAGTACGAAAGGCACTGCAAGATACAGAGCCAAAGAACATCAAWACCTTAGAAAACACTTCAGGGATGAAGCCTGAGGTAAAATGAGCAGATTGTCAGAAATATTTGGAGAAAAAGCAGTTTGCACAGAGATTTTTAGTTAGAACCTCTCTGGCAACTAAAGTAGGAGGAAGGGCCACTGATTTTTCAGACAAAAGCAGATTTACCTGGAGATAGAGGGTCTGAGTACGTGGGCTTGTTGGCATAAGGATTATGAGACCTGTAGCAGATGTTTCACTACGACAGCAAAGTAGGGAGTATCCCCCAAAACCGGAATTGAGGCCCCAGACATCATCCCATTTGGAGAAGGCAAATCAGATGTCAGGCATGGTTTTGTTGTTAGTTGATTCATGAGAATATATATATATATATATATTTTTCAAAAGTCAAGTTTTTCCATGATGTTAAGCCTCAGCAAAGCAAACTTTGCATTCAGGTACCATAAAAACCAGCAAGCACTGACAAAGGCAAGAAAATTTCTTCTTGGGAAGAAATAACATTTCTAAACTCCAGCAATTAAATACCTAAGCCCTCTGCACTTAAGCTGCTGTCACCTTTTATAAATATGCAGCTTTGTGGGCGCATATACGTGTGCTTGGGCGTGAGCTGCTGCATGTTTGGGAACGTCTGCTCTTGCCTTCCAGCGCTGATTAAAGTTTGATTCCAGGGCCTGGTGACTAATTGTCTCTCGTCTCCTTCAGCCCCAGTAAACAGAATTAAAAACAAGCAGAGGAAGAGATGAAGAATGTCCTGGGAAAACCTCCAAATGGCACAGAAGACAAGAGGAAACATCTGAGCGAGAGCTGTCAGCACATGAGTTCCTCTTCTTTAGCCATTATCTCTGTGCAAGAAGACATTTTGCAGGAGCAGCTTCTTAACTTCATCTTAAGGGTGGCAGGGAGGATCTTGGAGCCACACGTCTTGCTTCAGGAGGAAAGAGCTTTACTTCATGCCAAGAAAAGCCATATTTTTATGCAGAAAAAAATAAACTACAAGGATGACACTCACTGCAAGTACATCAGAACTAACAGTGAAAGAATGACTGAAGTCATCAGCTCAACTCCCGTTTTAAAGAGACTTTTTTTTTTTAACATAAAAACAAATGTTATGTCTGCTTGCCTTCCTTAGCCATCATCTTTGAATGCGTGAGGTTAATTCAGACAGTTTCTAAGACCTGTGTTAGTTACTGATTAACACCTACTGCCAACCATAAGAAGCTGTGTCACGTGCTGCACCCATCGCCCATGGCTACTTTCAAAGTCCAYAGGAATTTGGACTTCTTAACACTGTTTTTTTGATTGCTTTTAACACCTAATGGGTGTTTCCCTTGGACAATCTGCAGCCTATAAAGTGACACAATAATCCTGGATTTCTAAGTGGAAAGCAAAGAGGGCACATCTAAAAAAACCTAAAAAGACAGTTCTCTCTCTAGAWGTCAGCAAACCTTCGTTTGCTGACCACTGTAAAAACATTCTCTACCTTGTTTGGAGGCACAGGAGGCAGCTTCCTCCTGTTCCTCTTCAAAACCTGTAGCTAGCTTACAGGTAAGCTAGCCTAGCTTACTTAGGCTCAGCTTTCCTTCATTTCCCCCTCCAGTTCTGGGCACTGCAGTTTGTCATTTTTCAAGCTCACAGAATGCTCCAAATTCTTCCATAACTATTTTCCTTGCTGAAGGATCAAGATTACCTCTCTGCTCTGGTCCTGCTTAGCTTCAAGGAAGCAGATAACCACTATTCTCCTACCCCTACTCTTCTCAGAGCCTCTGGTTTTAAACTGTTTTGGATTATTTCCAAGACGAGACAGAAGAATCAAAAGAAAACATCCTCTGTCATGTCTCTGACTGCACCGTTTGGAAAGCAATGGGACTCGCATCAAGGCAGGGATCAATCCACTTGATCAGCAAGCATGATTTGCACTTTTAAAGAAAAACATCAAATTGTATGTGAACAAAAGCTGTATGAAAGTCCAGGCCTTTATTTTACCTTAGAAAAGTTAAGGGCACTTTTATTACCCTTATTATTATTTCAACTGCAAGTACAATTAAGTTGTATTAAAATTGATAATGCAGCTAGAAATGTTGTAGAAGGAGCTGCTTGGCTTTTGTAAGAGAGGAATTCTTGTTCTTGTATGCTTTTTATGAATAAATTTCCTCTCCAACCATTTTTCTTCCTGCATCACCAAGTTTTGAGGTGCTCTTACCTGCCATTTTTGTTTGGACTCTTCCCCGGACAAGTTTCAGACAGACAGATCTATGGGAGAAAGCACACATCACTCACCAGCATCCAAAAAAGCCCTTAAAATTAGAGGTATCTTTGGTATTGTCTATCTGATGAATTGTAACCCCAGAGGTCCCACTACAAACTACTCATCTCAAACCGAAGAACTCATCAAACTACTCATCAAATCAAACTGAATCTGATCTCAAAATCTCTGAATTTTGCAGGCAGGAACCTCCCCAAACCAGCCACGCTCTCCCCTCACTTATATGAGGTTCCACCTGGAAACATCTCACGCAGTACAGTCACCTTGTCCATAATTTTTAAGCTTTTAGTCTTCAGCACAACCATGCTCTTAGCAAGACCTGGCAAAAGCCGAGGATGCACAAAAATCGACTGCGAGAATTCGGCTGAAATCGCAGCGTACACCCCAGCTGGAACCAGACAACAAGCTGAGGCACCCAGGTCTGGTTGGGGCCTGGCAAAACGCACCCATTGGAGGAGGAATTTGGGCTAACTCACCAGATTTAACACCTCATTTAGGCGCTGAGATGACTTGTTGGCGCTGAGATGACTTGTTGGCTCCTGGCTCTCCGTGGACCTTCCCAACTGCGCAAACAAAGAGATAATCTGTCATTAACTGGGAAGTAAGATGCTCTTTGAAACCAAACCAATCTCCCTCAAACAACACCCCTCATTATTTTAGTATTTATGCACTTATTACAATGCAGATTCATTCTCCTTTCTGTTACCACCTTTGAAAATGGCTGTGTTTCCCAACGGATGGAATCCCGGGAAGTCCACCCGGGAAGTCAGCTCTGCTGCTGATTTTGGCCGCACGGAGCCCGCACACAAAAGCTGYGCGGAGGCCGCGACGCTTCGAGCGRCTTCTGCTTTTAGAGGTAAAACCCTCCGCGTGCCCGTGTCTGCACGTGCCRAACAGGGAACAAAGGATCCCCCGGGAAAAAAACAAACAAAAGCACCCTCGAAAGCAACATTTTAAGGGTTGACAAAAATTATCAAGAACGAAAAGGTGTAGATTTAAAAACTGTCTTTAGAATAACAAACSCACAGCATGCACTTCTGCAACAACTACAGCAGTCACCGCGCTCTGACCAGGATAGCTGTTTTTTCAGATTTAAATCAACTCATTTCCCCTTTTCTACTCCTTTTTTTTTCAGTCTCTTCATTGGAAAAGGGACCAGAAAGACTCAGTGACGTACGATATTGCTGATGGCTGAAACTTTCCTGGAAAAAACTGCACTGTGCAGCCTCAATATTCTCCAATCCATCTGCAAGTGCCAGGTCCACGATTAAGGAAAGAGATTCACTGCAAACATGGATCAACGGAAATGGGTACTAGCCGACCACTCGCATAAAGTAATGCACCAAAGTAACCTCTACTCGTAGAAATGCTTTCAGTTTAATCAGAAAGAGAYAAACCTCAGCATCCTGCATCCTCTGCTGCAGCGATTTCTTTACACAAAATTATTTGCAAAGGGAGGAAAAAGACGGATGATAGGGAAACCRTGGTGTGAAACCAACTTCCTTTTCCCACCGCGTCACAAGCCGCTAGCGAATAACCCCAAAGTTTCTCCCTATCGACCTTTGTTATTCACTTCTCCTCCTCCTTTCCTCTCTTTCTGGAGCAGGAATGGGCCAGGGAGGTGGGAAAGCTGCACACGGCTCCAGCTTTGCCACAAAAACCACCTGGGGCAACTCGCCCAGGTCAGACTCACAGAAGGAGCCAGGCTCCTTTCGTGCCCATCTCCCGGCGAAGTGCAAAGTGCCCAACAGCCTYGCTTGCCCCCAGCAACCTCCACCAGCTCCGGGAATCCTATTTTACGATATTCTCCGTGTTGTTTTACATTCGGATTTTCGCTCTCACGTCCACGGCTGATGCCCTAGGGAGCTCGCGGGGCCACCCAGCTCTTACCCGGAGCTTCCTCGCGGGCCGGGGGCAGCCGAGGTGCCCTGGAAGGTGCCAGCGTTCGGCTCCGCACCGTCACGTCCCCCCGCAGCCCCAACCGCCCTCCTGCAGCATCTCCCCTCCCCGCCACACGCTGCCAGCCCGCGCAGGGCACCGGTGACGCCAGCACGACGCTTGCAGAACTAAACCAGCCAGAGAAAACCCTTCCAGAAGGCCCCCAGTGCGGATGAGGAACCAGCCCGGCCAGCAGGAACACAGCACCTGGTTCTAACAACATTTCTGCTGTGAAAACTCRCAGGGGAACAATGAATTTGGCAAGTCCTGGACCTCCTGTGTCAATCAGGGCTGCGTGATGGCACGGGAGCCCTTGGGGCTTCGTGGCCTTTGCAGGGAATTTTGCTGCCCTCTCTCCCACCATGTCCTACCGCGGAGCCRGCAGCCCGGGGGACGCACAGGAGGAAGCGATTCCCCCCACGTCTCTCGTGGGCTGTTTCCACAGACACAGCGACTGCTGCAACACGCACTAGAAGTCTCAACGTAGGTGCCTGGGGATGCCCAGGGCTCAATACAACTAATGACACAACCAAGTCACCCAAGGGGGAGATGGCAGAGAGCTCGAGAGGGAAAGCACAAACACACACACGTCCAGGCAACGATTCCACCCATTTTCAGCTACTCGCACTGGCCTGACACAGGGGACCTGGCTCGCAGGCAGCAGCAGCAACATTAACATGTCCAGACTGACACTATAAATCAAATAAATTAAATTATYAATTTCTTGCTTTGTTTCTACCTTACCTCTCTCTTCATCACCAGCACGAAAACAGCCTCTTAAGCTAATTAACAGCCACAAAAACACAAAGCTCAATGAGATAAAATGCAAACCCTTTTGTGTCTCTTCTGCCAGGGCTGGAGGACGGAGTGGGGTGTCCGTAACCCCCCGCGGAGGCCGGCGCAGCACGGAGGCCGGCGCGGCCTCCGTGCAGCCGCCACAGGCTCCTTGGGGACGCGGCGCCTCCAGGGCTGTCCCCGATACCCGGTCACCCGCGCGCTGCCCCCGATAGCTGCTCCCACCAGCGCTGGCCCCGATTCCTCCCCGCGCGCACAGGCGCTGGCCCCGAAACCTCCTCACGCGCCCTGGCCCCGTCACACTGTGCTGCCCCCCCCATGCCACACAGCTCCCCAGGGACGTCCCCAACACCCTCCTCTGCACTTGGGCTCTCCCCAACACCCCTCCCTACAGAGGGCCCTTTTCCAGCCCCGTCTGTCGCTTTATCGCACCCCGTGGTGTCGCTGGGTCCCCCCCGCCTGACCCCCCAGGCTGTTCCCATTGATCCCTCCTTGTCCCCCCCATCCCAAACTGTCCCCCCTAACTCCTCCCTGTCCCCCCAGCTCCTCCCTGTCCCCTCTCCACCGGCSGGGCTGTCCCCGGTGCTCCCGGCCTCCTCAATGGCAGCCCCGTTATTCCCAGCCCGTTTCGTCCGCAGCTTGCTCCGTTATCTCCCCGGCCGGCCCCGCTGCCCCCCGCCCCGCCGCGAGGACATGGCCCCCGCCATGAGCCCCTGCCCGCCCGCACACCGGCCCCGCAGCCGCCGTTACCGAGCCCACCTCGCGCCGCCGCCGGAGCGCCGCTCCCCCGGGCCCTCCGCGCAGCCGCGGGGCGCGCCGGGAAAGAGAGTCCCGCCGGGCGATGCCGCGGTAGCCGCCGGGAGGGCGCGGACTACAACTCCCAGCACTCCCCGCKGCGCGCCCCGCTCTCCCGTCACGTGAGGCGCTCCCCAGCGGTGGGTGTTGGCTGGGGCGCGCCCTAACACCGGCTACGGGGCGCGGGGAGGGACAGAAGAGCTTGACGGAAGCGGGCGCGCGGGTSGGGGGAGAGGGCGCTCCCGCCAGGGCTGTCCATTAAAGCCTGTCCCGCCAGGATTTAACGGACAAATTCCCCCAAACGGAGATCTCCGGGGCTGCCGCGTGTCGGGGGACCCCGTCCAGGGTGGCGGCCGGTCCGGAGGCCCCACGTCCCGTTGACGCCCAGGACGGCGGAGCTGGACGGCCCTGTCCGAGACGATGGCAGAGACACAGGGAATGTCCAATCCAGGGAATGTTTCCTGCAGGGAATGACTGTGGGAGCCAGCAGGGGTCACCCCGCCCCAGCAAACCCAGCGCCACGGGGCCGGTTGTCCAGAGCGGCAAATCCCGGCCCAGCCGCTCCGCTCATCCCGGCAAATCCCCACGTCTTCATTCCCACGGCTCCAAGGCAGCTCCCCATGAACGTGTTTCATCCCAAGAAAACCTCTTTGCCAAGAAATTTTAAACGTATTTCCCCAACTTTTTTTTTTTTTTTTTCATGTTTTTCCCAAAAAACGTGTGATTCACCTGCAAAAAGCAGGTGTTTTTCCTAAGGAAGCCCCACGATGCCGTGCCCCGTGTTTCCAGTCATTCCCAGCTYGGAGCAGCAACCGCCTTTATTGCCTGACGGGTCATTTGTGGGAAGGAAGCTTCCCAGTGGGCTTTTCATGGCAAACCCCGGGGAAAAGGGAATAAGATTTGTGCGTTTAATCCCGACAGGGACCATGTGCATCCCGCGGGAGAGGCGGTGGTTGGCGCTTCCCCAAACAGAGCCCTTYCCCAGAGGCTGTTTTCCATGTGGGGAGGGACATGGAGATGCGTGGAAGCAGCGTCCCGGATCCGCGGGAGCTTTCCAGCCCCGACGCACACACCCTGGCTCGGCCCCAGCTCGCCAAGGTCCRTAAGCGCGTGCTGAAGTGAACCAATAATACCTTAAATTTGCTAAAATTTAGCCTTGTGTGTACTGTGCTGGATGACAGGGCTTGGTCCAGAGCCAGCTCAAGCAAACTCAAGGTCTTTCACCGACGGAGGGGTTTGCTTCCAGCCTCCCCGTTTGCTGAAATGCAGAATCACAGCCACTATTTCCCACAGGATTCTTTTTTTTTTACCTTGCAAAACAGACTTTATTTTTCTTCCTGTAAATTTTGTGCAATATACAGCCATATGCCTAAAGAATACACCTCAATAAAAAGTTATTCTTCCATACATTATATTACTTTTTATTTCATGTCATGAAAAATTCAGACAAAGCTTTTGTCCTTAAATAAACATTTCTCCCTCCCCTGCCCTCCCTTCCTAGCTGACCGGTCTGAAAAGAGGAAGTTTTGTTATTTAGTTATTTTCTTTTCTTTAAAAAAATAGAAATTACAATCTTACAAGACAGAACATTCAATGAGAACAGAAGCATGTTCCTAAGTCTAAAAAGTAAAACATTTCCATAAAACCTGTTGGTATCTACAGGTAGGTGTGGGGGGGTGTCAGATGGAAAAAATGTGCTCCATTTCTTCCTTTCATTCATATAGATAAAAATAACATAAAACCGACTGAAACTTTATATAATTTTCTCTTTTGCACCAACATTCACAAGAATATATATTATTATATATTTTATCCATTTTTATACACAGTGTGAGGGTTCTGGAGGTGGAAATGCATACTCAGCTAAACTGCCATAGCAAACGAACGAACACAAAATTAATCTTCATCTGGAAAAGAGCAATCCCTCGCTGCTCAGGTCGTGCCCCTACAGGGAGCCTTTCACTTCGTTACCTTTTAAAATAAAGCGGCCAAACGTCCGGTGGCCGGAGGGATGGAAACGTTCTCGGGGCCGGAGAGGCCTGAGCGTCTGACYGGGTTTGCGGCCGCAGGGCTCCGTGTCTGCTCCGCCGGCGGCTTGGTCGGGAGGAGAAGGGGAATCTCCTGCTTTGCTCCCGGGTGCTCCGCTGCGGCCAGGCGGGAGCGGAGGCGCAGGGAGCTCCCGCCAGCTCGGGGCTTCCACATTTCTACCCGTTTATCCAGCCTTGCCCTAAACCCCTCGGTCTGTCCCTATACCGACGGCCGCGGTGGGCGCCGGGAGGGAGCTCGGCACCGCGGCGCCACGTGGCACACGCCAAGGGCTGAGAGCCGCTCGGGTGCCACGGGGCGGCTCGGACCYGGTCCGGAACCTGCACCAGGCTCCACTCCTGGTACAAAACCAGTTCCTACCTCCCCAGACATCCCCGAATCATCCAGTCAGGCCCTTGAAAGGTAAAAGTGCTGGTTCCTGCGCTGCGGCAGGCTGCGTCACAAGTGTCTAATACTTCCAGGCGCCCTTCCATTCCCACCCGGGCTCTTATTGCTCAGAATGTCAAATCTCCCAACACAGAGGCGCTGCGCCGAAAGCTCGTGGCGAGGGCTCAGTCTTTTCCTGATTTAAGGTGCTTTCTTGGTGTCTTTGCCAATGAAATGAAAACGGTGACGGGTACCGTGGTGGCGGGCGAATACTAAGGATGTGAGGAAGGGTATGTGCTTTTTTTTTCCTGAACCTTTCAAAACACCCGCAGCTCTTTGCGCTGAGAGAGGGTCTGCCCTTCCTGCAGGGGGGCGTCAATGGAGACCCCCCCACAAAGCACATTCGCCCTCTCCAGCGCCTTCCCCATGGCCTCTCTCCCCCGGGAGAGGAGCCAGGAAGCGAACGGGGCTGTTGAAAATGACTTTTTTTAAAAAAAAAAAAAAAGGCACAACCCTTGAGACGAAAAAGGCAATACTGACTTCTCACTTCCATAAAGCTTTAGGATGCAGGGTTGGAGAGGGGAAGGAAACGAGCTCGGCACATCCCCACCCCGGCTAACGCTGCGTCGGAGAACGACGTATTGGCACTCAACACTGCGACTCGGCTCGGCCGCCTTCTCCAGAGACACGGGGCTGATGACAGCAAGGAAAGCCAGAAGGCTGCCGACCTCGGATTTGCTCCCATAGGCAGTTCGGACAACGCCAAAAAGCGCCCGGCGCTGGGAACAGAGTGGATTGCTGAGGTTTTCTGCGCCTTTTCCCTGCAGAAATCCCAGTGGCTTCGTGGCAGGTCTTCCCTGAACGAGTGCGGTCCGTGTTTTCCCTGTCTGGAGAGCGTGGGTATCCACGGCCGTCGCTAATAAAGCTCGTTTGGTTGAGAGGGTGCGATGGGAGAGTCGGAAGTTTTGGCTTTGATATCGTCCCTGCTTTCTGGGCGGCGATAGAAGCTGCTGGAGGATGTGGCTGTACGTGTGAGAAATCCATGCAGAGCGGGGAAAGAACCTGGCAGTTTAGCCCTTTGCCAGCAGAAAGCGGGGCTGCCTCGCAGCAGCTTTTCTTTCCTGTGCAGCTTTTTGGCATTCGGTGCAGGAGGAGCAAGAACAGGGACTGAAAACTCACCGGCGGAGCCCGGGGGGCAAATCCCTCGAGCGACCCGGGCGGCTGGGGGAAGGAGCTGGCATCATTCCCTAGACCAAATGATCCCTTCTCCTTCCGAGCCCCCCACGCTGGGAGCAGTGGGTCCAGACCAGACCACAACTTCCTGGGCTAGGAATAAAGGACTTTCCCTTCCTCTTGCCCCAAAAGGGGATTTCTCCCCTTAAAAAGCCCCCAGGTACTACTAAATGGAGGATAACCCCCCAAATACCAGTAGCAAAGTCCAAGTTGACCTGAAGAAGAGGCAAAGACAGATCCTYGTGGGGCCTGCGATGGGAGGAAGGGAGACAGCAGCGGGGTTGGCTTTAGGCTGGGAGGAGGAAAGGCCACGAAAGCTACTCTGGGATGCCCGGATCACAGGAAAGATTTGCAGAGGTCCCTAAAACCCTAAGCGTGACAGCCCAGATCCCCAAAGGCCACTGCTTGTGATGCCACGCGAGGCAGCAGCGCCCTGAGCCGCCGCACCGGCACCGCCGCAGCAGCTGAGATTTGGCCACRAACACAAGGGCAAAGCCCCTCTCTTTGAGAAACCCTCAAAATCTGAGAAAAAAAGGAACCCGTGAGGTGGGTAGACCTGCTGAACCTGCTCTGAGACGCAGCGTTTTCCTGGAGCAGGGAAGGGGCGGTTGGACCGAGCAGCCTCGGCTGCACTTGCTTTCGGGCAAAGAGCTCACAGGAGGGCACGGAGACTCTGCAGAGCTTCTCCCTTCTGCACTGGGACTCCTCCTGAAACCAGCCCGCTCCACAAGGAGATCCAGTGCCAGATCCACCTCCTTGGCATCTTCAGCTGTGCCGAGCGGCGAGGAATAAAGCAGAACTTCCAGGCAGGAGCGGACTGTGCCCATCCGGAGCAGGGCACATTGCCCTTCCTTCACCCCCTGCTTCTGCCTTGGGCAGTCAAAATAAAGACGGGAGCTGGGYAGCGCGAGCCGGGCCCTGGGGAAGGGCCGTGCTCTTCGGGGAGGTGTCGGTGCCTTGCTACTTACAGGAGCATCTCCTCTCCCACGCGGAGATTTCACATTCATTTCACTGGTATGGCAAAGTCAGGTTGCTTTTCCTTCAAGGTGCTTTACATTCAAGAGCTATTGCAATCCACAGCGAGGAAACGGGGCCTGGGAGCTAGCCCGGCCCTGCAGGGTCTCTTGGGTTTGATTATTTGATTTAAATAAGTTGTCCCAAACCTCTGAAGTTTAGTTCATCTCCAAGCTTTGGGAGCGCAGAGGGAGGGCGCGGGCCGCCCCAGCCTTAGCTCTCCCGTGGGTCGCTGTACTGCAGCTCCGAGTTGAAGACCTCCTTGTAGAGGGGAGGGAAGTTCATAGCGGTCTCCGGATGCAGGAGCCGGAAAAACTCCAACTTGTCCAAGTGCAGATTACAAATGGTCTTCATCAAGGGCAGCTTGGAAACCATCTGCAGGGAAACAAAGTGATGGAACCAGTGAAAACTCCATTCCCTGTTAGTCCCATCTGGCTTTGGCATGGCCCATCCTTTGGAGACATGGGAGTGCATTTGGGGAGCTCCACTGGCCACAGCTTGGGTGTTTTGGGTCATCTCACCATCACTGCACAGCTCTGGGAACAGGAGGGCCCAGGCAGCAATGGACATTGCCCTAGATATGCTCAGCCTGGCCATGGGTATCTCCATGGCCTTGACCCCTCCCATAAGCCACAGAGATGCCCAGTGCTTGGAAGGAGAGACTCCTGCTCCTCCGGCAGGTGCCAAGGATGGCCAAGAGGGGCCTGTGCGTGGAGAGCAAGCTCCGGCAGAGCCACCTGCATCGCGCGTGGCTACGATGAAAGCCACCCAGGTTCAGGGTGTCCCCATCACCAGACACAGAGATGCTGCTCACACCGGGCTGCCCGCGCCGCTCGCGCCCAGCACCGCTACCTTGGAGAGCTTGTCCTCGGCAGAGTGTTTCTTCTGGATCTCGTGCTGCAGGGCTATGTAGATCTTGTCCTGGAGCTTCTGCACCTTCTTAGACTCCGTCAGCCAAGGGCGATCTAGGGGGAGACCRACCATGGCCCAGTCAGTGCTGCAGGGAGGACCTCCATCCCGCATGGTGCATTGCACATCACTCCCGATATCTTCTCATTCTTTAGGATGTTTTTGGGGACAGMTGATGAGCCCCTGCGCTGCTGCCATCTCCCCAGCCCCAACTCTGGGGGTGAGACACCAAGGCCTCGAGCACCAGGTGGGTTTTGAGGTTCCCCGAACATTCCCAGCTCCTTTCCCATTGGTTCCCTCAACCTTTTCCAAAACGACATCCAGGCACCTCTGGGGCGGAYGGTGTGGAGCCCGTGGCCAAAGGACCTGCTCCTGCTGGAGCTCCTCATCCTGCTGTCCCAGCAATGACTGAGCCCTTCTGCTGAGGACGTTCTCCCCATTGAGATTCCAGGGAGGCACCCACCCRCAGGCGGCACCAGGGCTCGGGGCGCCGCGGCAGCACCCCCGGTGCCACCCGCGCCCCTCGTGCCCCTGCTCACCGGGCGACAGCAGGACGGCGGCTGTGAACAGGGCGATCTCCTCGTCCGACAGCTGCAGCCGGCACAGGTTCCTCCCCAGCTCGAAGACGGCGCTGATGAGGTCGTCGCAGCCTAACGGGGCGAGCGCCGCGTCACCGGCATCCCCAAAGACGCCGGACGGCGCCCGGGGCTCCGCGCCCTGGCGGGGATTTGGGCTGTCCCCGGGCGGGAGAGGCCACCGCGCGGCAGAACCCGGCCACGACGCGGCTCCCGAGCAAAGGGAGAGGAAGGGCCCGGAGCGGAGGGCGCCCRCGGCCCTTACCGAGCGCCTTGAAGAGCTGCCCGCCGCCGTGCTTGCCCTCGAAGAGCACCGTGTTGTTGAGCGGGTTGAAGGCGCGCGCCATGCGGATGAGCAGCACCTCGAGGCAGCCTGGCAGGGGCAGCGCCAGCGGCCCAGCACCAAGGAAACGAGGAAAGAAAAAGAAACAAAGAAAACAGCGCCAATTGGAAGTCCAAATTGGTAATTCCCAAGAGCAAAGCGTTTAAGAGAAATAAATCCAGTTTGATGATATTTTTCGTTTGTTTTTTTTATCCCCCCTCGCAGGTTTCCAATTGCGACCACAGTATTTCACCTAGGGGAAATATTATCCAGGCACTGAGCATTCGGAAACAGAGGGAGATCCATGGGATGGATCAATGCGATGGAGCAAGGAGAGAGAGTGAAAACGAAACAGAAGGAAAAAAGGAAGAAATAATTTTTACAAAATAGTTCAACTCGGGCCCTGGGCTGGGGACACGTCAGGGACAGTGCGTGGCACCTGGGCAGGGACACGGCCAGAGCCTCCCCCTGTGCCCAGCTTTGCCTCGATAAAAAAGCAGTTCTGGTTTGGGCAGCRTTTTCCTTCCCAAGGTCTCAGGCTTTAGGGAAAACATCCCTGMAAACGATGGGCTGCAAAGAACCCGCTGGGAAGGCGAGTGCCACAAAGAGACCAAAGCAATGGGGGGCTTGGAAAGCGCGGAAAAGGGTGGAAAAGCCAACGGGAGCCCTGGCAGCACCACGGGGGACGGTGATGGGGACACCGGGGCACACAGCTCTTACCGGCCTTGAGGAGGATGATCTGGTCGTTCTGGCAGAGCTCCATGAAGCCGTCGATGCGCTTGGCGAACTCCACCACGTACTGGATRGCGTTGGAGATCTGCAGCGCGCACTGCTGCCACATGGCCTCGCAGCTCTGCAAGCACGGCGGGACRTCAGCCCCGGCCACCCACCTCCCCTGGGGCTCCCTGGTCCCCAGAGAGGGACGGAGGGTGACGGGGRCGCTCGCGAGGCGGCTGGCACCTTGCTCTGCAGGACCCGGATCTCCTCCGGGCTGTAGAGCGTCCACGCCAGCCGCTTGAGCTCCTCCGTCGTGTACTGGCACGTCTCCAGGTGCGACTTGACCACGTTCTGGGCGATCCGGTCTGCAAGGCGAGCGCAGCGGCTGGTGGCAGCGGCGGCCGAACCATGGGGACGTCCCCGCTTGCCCAGGGCCACCCCCCCGGCCTGGCCCAGGTGGCCCCGAGGGCTGCGGGGAGCCGAGGCCAGAGGCACCGGGGGGAAAGGGCCCGGAACAGGGGCGGCACCGCGGAGCCAGCCGTGCAGCGAGCTGCATCAGGGCTCAGCCCGCGCGGGCGCTCACCGATCTCGAGGACGGAGATGTCGGCGGCCAGCGGGCCGCCCTCGAGTGCGCCGTGCGCCAGCAGCGCCGGCTCCAGCATCAGCTCGTAGAGGGACTCCTGCTTGATGAGCGCGGCCTCGGCCACGTCCAGGCTGGACGGGTCGGGCGAGGGCTGCGCCGACGCCAGCAGGTCCAGGTTGTAGTAGGCGCCGCCGCCGTCCGGCGTGAGGGGGAAGTCGAAGAGGAGCCCGTCGGACAGCGTGGAGATGTCGTCGAGGTCGGAGAGGCCGCTGCTCACGCTGGTGCTGTAGACGCGGCCGAGCGGCTCCGGCTCATCCTTGGCGCCGCCGCCCTGCTCCTGGCTCTGCTGGTGCTTCTGCACCTCGGCGTACAGGCTGTCCCGCTGCTTCTTGGACATGCGGCCGAATTTCACCGCTGCCCGGGGGCACAAGCGGCGCCGTTAGGGAGCTCGGAGGAGCTCCCCGCTCGGGGTTGATAAACCCGGTGAGCGCAACCCCCCCAGCAGCAATTCTGGGTCAAATCGAACAGAGTCGATTTCCATTTTCCTCTAGGAATGCTGCGGTTTAACCCCATCCAAACCGCTCCCGAGCATCTAAACCCACATCCCAGCGGATGCGTTTTGACAGAAGATGCTCACAGGCTTCAGCATCAAAACCCCCCAGTTGGATCCTTCCCAAACGCCCGCGAGGAAACTGCCAGCTCGTTTTGGACCCAACCTTCCCAGGGCCAAACACCAAGCAGGGTCAACAGCCTTGTTCTTCCCAACGAGGGAAGAACTCTCTCCCCTGACACCCCTTCCCCACGGCTGGGGCGGCACCGGAGCCCCCGCTCACCGTCCCGCGACATTCCCAGGGCCAGGCATTTCTGCAGGCGGCAGTGCTGGCAGCGGTTGCGGTTGGTGCGGTCGATGAGGCAGTTGCGCTGCCGGGAGCAGGAGTAACTCGCGTTGTTCTGCTGGCTCCTCCGGAAGAAACCCTGCGAGCGGCGGCGGGAGGGTTGAGGGGACGGGGACCCCGCGCGGGCGCCCGCCCGGCCGGGGGGACCCGCCGGCGCCGCTCACCTTGCAGCCCTCGCACGTGATGACGCCGTAGTGGATCCCCGAGGACTTGTCCCCACAGATCTTGCAGGGGATCACCTCGATTTGGGCTGCAGCAAAGAGCGGGGGACAAAACAGAGGTGCTCAGYGATGGGGTATGCTCAAGGGGCAGAGGAGAAGGGCGAAAACCAGCCCCCAAGGCCCTTTTGGGGCAGAAAAGCAGGGGGAGGCCTCATGCTGGTGCCCCATCCCTGCCCGAATCCCTTTGCAGGATCCGTCACATGAATTTTGGGGTCCCTGCAGGGGAACAGGACAGTGGGTGCCCCACAGCCCCCCCTCCATCCTACAACCCCCCAGCAARGAAAACACCGGAGCCAAAGTGGGCAGAGCCGCAGCACCCCCGGACACCCGGACCCAGCACCACGGGGCACTGCCATCCTGCACATYCCCGTATCCATCTCCCCGTGACATCCCGGGGACCTTTCCTGATCCCGYACCACGGATCGGGGCCGCTCCAACTTAAAAACCCCAGGAGCGACGCGGCRGCTCCGGAGGCTGGTCCCGTCCCCCAGCAAATCCCAGCGGCAGCTCTGGCTACGCTGAGCCGCTAAGAGGCTTCGTCCTCCCTCGGCGCCCGGATCAGGGCCGGCCCTGCCCTCCCGCCGGGTGCCGGAGCCACCGGAGCGGCCGCGAGGCTCCTACGTGACGCCCGGCATCTCCGCAGGCCCTAATCCGGCCCCGCTCCCGCGCTTGCTCCCGAGGGCGCTGGGCGCCCGCACCAAAATAAACCCCGCGGGCAGATTAGGGTTATTTAAGATCTGCCGGGCCCGGGCAAATCCCCGGCTCGGGTAATTCCCTTCTGCCCGGCGGCCGCTTCCTCGCGCCAACGCTGTTTGCAGGGGCGGCTGCAGCCCGGAGCAGGGAGAGTTTGGGATGGGGAGGGCCTCTCCATCCCCCTTGTATCCCATTTCCACTGTACTCCCACTATATTCCCTTTTCCCATTCCCACTATATGCCTATTCCCTTTGTATCCCCATTCCTACCATACACCCCCTATATTTCCCTTATATCCCCACTATATGCCCTTACATCTCCATTCCCACTATATCCCCACTATATTCCCCTTAAACGCCCATTCCCACTATATTCCCACTATACTCCCCATTCCCAATATATGTCCACTATATTCCTCCTATATCCCCATTTCCCTTATATCCCCAATATATTCCCTTTACATCCCCATTCCCACTATATTCCCACTCTACTCCCCATTCCCACTCTATGCCCACTATATTCCCCTTCCATTCCCATTCCTACCACACACTATACTCCTACAATATCCCCATTCCCACTATACCCCCACTACAASCCCATTCCCACTCTATTCCCCATATATCCCCATTCCCCTTATATCCCCGCTATACTCCCCCTATATCCCATTCGCACCACAGCCAATGTCCCAGCATGAGTGGGCCCCGAGGGCGGCTCCGAGCCGGAGCATCCTGCTTCCCGCTCCTTGCGCAAGGTCGTTGGGAGCACGGGGCTGGTGTGCCCGCCTCGCCCGGCGCCCGCAGCCGATACTCCCTGCCCCGCAATTACCCCGCGCGCCTGGCGCCCATCCCGGCGCAGCCCGAAACGCTCCCGTGTCCGCTCGGGAAGCGGCCAAGCAGCGGGACGGGCAGCAGGGCCGTTTCGCCCAGCAGGACAGGGACAAGGAGCCACATCCCAGCACTGCGCCCGGTCGGAGATGCCCTCGGAGAAGGGGGGCAGAGGGAAGGTTCCTTAGGGAAAGGTTCCCCGGGAAGGTTCCCCGGGTTCTAGGGCTGGGCATCAGTTTGCAGCCCGTGGCTTTTCCACTGGCTGCAGAGGGAGGGATGGAAGAAGGTGGTGCGGGATTGTTTCCATGCCAGGAGCTTCTCTGGGCTCCAATTGGGAATATTGCATCCCGGTAATTAGTGCATGCTAACGACGGGCACTTGACAGGCTAYTAGGGGCTCAGTCCCGAGGGACTGACGTGGGGATGCGGCTTTAGCTCTGGCTTTGGGGCAATTAAAACCAGGAACAGCTTTTAATTGCCGCTCCGGTCATTGCTCCCAGCTGAATCACAGGAATCCAGGTGCCCGCTTGGCACCTCCCCGGGAACACGAGAAACGGGTGCCCCTCCGAAAGGCCRATCCAGGCTCATCCGAGCCTCTCTCTCCTCCTTCCAGCCCCAACAAGCTCCAGCGCAGGGACCCTCCCACCCCCAGCACGTCCCTGCCTCAGGTCCCCCTTCATCCAAGGGCAGCAACAAACCCTCCCGTGGGGAAACAGGAGGAAAATTCACCCGCCGGAGGGCAGCAAATAAACAACCCAGCGGAGCCGGCAATTAAAATGTCCCCGCTGCGGTATTCGCTCTCCTCCCCGGTAAACAGGCCCTGCCCAGGGCTGGCAGCGGCCGCGGCGCTTATGTAAGCGGCGCGCGGGCCGGGGCCACGGGCCGGCATTGGCGGCRCTGCCCGTCGCTCAGGCGGCCCCGCGCGCCCTAATCCTGCCCTACTGACACACTTCGGGCTCCGGCGCCCAGCGCCGCCCTTATGTAACGCGCGCGGCGCCGTTAACCCTTCCCGCGGCGCCGGAGCCGGAGCGAGCCCCACGGCGAGCCGCCGGCTCGTGCCCCCTTTCCCGTCGCGGCGTCGGTGGCAGGACCCGAGCRCGCCCCRTCCCGCGGCYGCCCCGCTCTGCCGCGCGCACCCCGTAAATCTCAGCACCCCACTTGGGCCCGGGAATATATCCCGGATCCCCCCCTCGGATCCCCATTCCAGGGAATGGTGCTGGGGTGAATCCAGGGGAACAGGACAGTGGGTGCCCCACAGACCCCCCCGGCACAGGGATGTTCCCAGGGATCCCCCGCTGGAGCGGCCGGCACCAGTGGGAGCCGGGGCCTGGTGGCTACAGGAGAGAGCAGTGAGGATCCTGCGCCAGGAGGGTCGCGGTGCCCGGGCACTTTTGGCCTCGGAGCTTCCCGAGGGCACCGCAAGGGGTTGGGACATCCCTRTGTTGATGCTGGGGGCAAATGGGGCCCCATAGACCACACAGGAGCCCGATAGGGCTCAGTCCAGGGACGGGACCGTGGCCGGGCAYGACGGGACCTCGGTGCCCCCGTGGCCGCTCTCTCCTCCCGTCGGTGACCGGCCCCGGGGCTCCCTCGGGCCGGCAGCCTCATTACCCGGCCGTCCTGCTGGGAAAGTAGGTCTGCGCCCCGCACGGCTCCCGCGGATCGATGGCGCCGGACGGGGCACCTCCGGGCACGGGAAGCCAGGGGTAATTAGCGACAGAGCCTCCCTCGCCACCCGGCCACGGGCACGGCGGGCGGCCGCGCTCCGGCCTTTCCCGCGGGCTGGAGCAGCGAGTTCCCGGGCTCGGGATGCAGCCGGAGCAGCCGCGGACCGAGCAACGTCAGCCCTTGGAGTGGCGGCCGGTCGTGCCGCCCCGCGGCGAGCCGCCCGCGCCGCCTCATTAGCCTCGATTAGGTTTCGCTAACGCGGCCGCCGGCCTCCAGGGACGGCTGTCATCGGAAAGAAAAATAAAAGGGAATTATCAGCCGGCCGGATCTGCCCGCCCGCTCAGCGCCCGGCAGCTCCGCTCGGGCCCTGCTGCACCCGAAGCGTCGCCCCGGGGCGCCCAGTGCCCCCGGGCACCTCCCGCTCTCCGTTAATTCCTAACCGGGCACCTGCAGGTGCCCGAGGACGCAGGTGCCCGAGGACACGGGCGCCGGGTGCACGGCAGCCCTGGGCAAAGTGCAGCCGGGGAGGGAGGGCGCAGGGCGGGCGGCACGGCGGGAGAGCGGCCGTTATGCAAGCGCCGGGCCCCGCCGYGCGGGCCGCTCGCGCAGGGAGCGCCTCCAGCTTTCCGCCCCGGATGTGGAGGGAATCGGGATGGGTTTTGGCCTCGGTGGGGTTTATCCCTGCAGATCCCGTGCCCAGGGCCGGCATTTCGGCTTCAGGAGCTCTCCCAAGCCCAGCCTGGAGCCGGCTCTTTGCATGGAGTGACCAGGCCACATTGGGCTTGGGGACACGAGTGACAGTGGGGTGGCCTCCGAAACGCCGGGTGCTGCCGTGGGCAGGCGCCAGCGCCGCAAACGCGGCCCCGCACGGCGAGCTGCAGGGCTAAGCCAGGAGGCAGAAGGCTAAACCAGAGCAGGGCGGGGGGAATGATCCCTGCGGGGAGCTAAATAAAGGCCCTGAGCCCCGCGCCGCTCAGCGCACCCAATAACCCCGCGCGGCTTAGCCCTGAGCGCGCCCTAAATAGCTCGCGCTGAGCGCGGCCGTGGCACCGCGGAGCCCAGCGGCAGCTCCGGCCTCGCGAGGCTCTTGCCGGAGCTGCCGGCGTCTCATCCCGTCCCGGGGCACCCTGARGTCCCACCACCACTCCTGGATGCTCCCTGAGGACAGTGGGGCGGCTCGGAGTGCTTGACCGAGCCAAGATCCCCAGTGCTGGCAACACTGCTCACATCCCTGCGAGATCCACCGGCAACTTCCCGGTTGGCACSGGAGTGGGCAGGAGGGCAGCGTCAGTGGCCACGCTCCGCTGGCCTCCGGAGCGACGCACGCCGCTCGGAACGGGCGAGGAAGCTCCTCCTCCGCCCCCTCTGATTTTCCAATGACAGATCTAGGTCACTGGGACAAGGCGGCCGGCGGCCGGCACGCTTCGCGGCACGCCACGCTCCCGACGCGCCCGGCGAGCGCAGCACCCCACGGTCCCCCGGACAGAGCCCAGAGCAGCCCCGAGGGAGCAAAAACAGGGAGCGAATCCATGCGGGAGCACCCGGCGGCACTGGAGCCCTGGGCTTGCGCTCTGGAATAAAACTGCCCCTTGAGAAAAGTGCCACCGCGGCGCCCCGGTCGTGCAGCCCGCGGCCGCATGCGGAACGCAGCCGAGCTGGGAAAAGGCGCTTGGCAGGGCGGCAACGCGCGCTCGGGATGGGGACGGGGACCGCACAGCCGCGGTGCCGTGCGTCCCTATAGGCAGAGGAATGTATGGAGCAGATGCCGGGGGGGGGGGCAGGGGGAGGACAGGAACACACTGAGGCATCAAAGGGAGCGGAGGAAAGGACAAAAAAAGAACTAACTGCAAAACGTCCCCCTGGTCCCCTCTGAGAGGCTCCAGCAGGGACAGGAGCATCTGCAGCACCAGCGACGCTGCCACCGTCCCCATCCCGCCGGAGCCTGCCCACATCCCCCTTCCACAAAACAAAATGGGATAAAACTAGGAGTTGCCGTTGATAACGGCTCCRCCGAGAAAAGAAATAAGTAGGTAATAAACAAGTGAATAAATACATAAACGAACGAATAAATAAATAAATACGTGGAGAAATAAATAAACAAGCGAAGCCAGCAGTGGTTTCGGGGCTGGGGCCGGTGCTCGCTGCCCTGTCCCCGCAGGGAGCGACTTGCTCCCGAAGTGTCCCCGCTCCGTCCGCAGCTCCGCCACCAGCGCCGGGATGCGGAGGGAGGGAAACGCAGGGAAGGAAGGAAAAACAAAATCAAAGCGCGGCGGGAAGCAACATATTGAGAGCGGGATTAAAGGGGTTTAGGGCGAGGAAAGGCTTAGGGGGGTCTAAGCCGGCGGAGCCAAATAAACAGCGGCGAGGAGGGGGCAGCGCGCGGGTCCGGCGCCCCCCGCGCGTCGCGGTGCCGCTGTCGCCGTCCCCCCGGGCGGGACGAGCCCCGCGCTCACCTCGCATCGTGGCTGGCGGCGATCAGCACCGCGCCGGGGCGCTCATGGGAGCGGGCGGCGGCGGCACCGGCTCCGGTACCGGCTCCGGTACCGGCTCTGGCAGCGCGGCGGGACGCGCGGGCGGCCCCGGCACGAGGAGGAGGAGGAGGAGGAGGATGAAGAGGAGGCGGCGGCTGCGGGCGGCACCGGGCGGCTCTGGCACCTGCCCCTCCGCGCCGCCGCTGACCCACTTCTGCCCGAGCATGTGGCCGTTCACATGACGAGCCCGCCCGGCCCCGCCTCCCCAAATCGGTTTCACTCCAGGCGCCGCCTCCCGCCCTTCCTCCCCTGTCTCCACCCTCCTCCTCCCGCTCCTGCCTCGCGCGGCCGCGGGGCTCGAGGCGGCACCGGGGGGCACCGGGGGGCACCGGGGGGCCCGGGCCCGGTCCCGGGGCGCTGCGCAGGGGCCCCCGTGGCGCCCCGGGCACCCGCAGGGCCACATGGCCCGGCCAAGTCCCCACATCGCTTCGCGCCTCCCTGGGGACCCCAGCATCACCCCAATGCCCTTTGTGCCCCCGTGGGCTGGCTGCGCCTGGACCCAGAAGTGATAGAGATGACCCAAAAGTGACAGGGACCAAATAAACTTTGGGGGCTAAAAAGAGGGGGCTAAAATTTGCTCCCACAAACCCATTGTTGGAGCAGCCCTAACGCATCCCAGCACCTCCATCCGTGTCATTTCTCCTGGAGCCAGGATTCCCCTTTCCCGGGAATCAGCCCTGGGGATGACTCCCGCTGTCCCCATTCACAAAGTGCTGGGTGAAGGAGGTGCAAAGCACTGGGGACAGACGGGCTCTGTCACGGCCTCCATGCCCACAGCCTCTTGGCTTCCTTGGTGCCGCTAAATCCTGCTTGGATGATGGGGAAGACCAAGGTGCTGCGGATGTGGGAAGGATGGGATGTGGGAAGGATGGGATGGGATGGGATGGGGTGGATGGGGTGGATGGGGACCCACACTGGGGTGCTGAGGGACGTCATTAGCCACGGGCATCGCTGCCGCCCTGCACGGATGCGGCCTCGCTGCCGCCCGTGCCCCTCCTCCCGCGCCGCGCTCCGCATGGATGGGCACCCGGACGGGGATGAGGGCTGACACGTCGCCTCCGCGTCTCCAGGCGCGGCTTCCCACCAACGCTCTGCAAAACCGTCCCCGCTGGATGGGATTCACCCTGGATGGGATTCAGGGCTCACCCCGGGAGGCCGCATGCCTGGTCCCGGGGTCACGGGCACAGCCCGAAAGAGGTCACCGTCATTAGCCCCATTCCCCAGATGGGGAAACTGAGGCTCGGAGCCACCAGGTGCCTGGGCAGGGCAGGGAGGCCTGAGCTGGAYGAACTGGCCCCTCCTGCGAGCCGGCAGCTCCGGGCACGGCCGCTGCTGGGCCRGTCACGGGCGCATCCTGCCCCGCCGATGGAAAATAAAAGAGGAGCCGCCCCTGCCGGGTGCCAGGGCATCTGCCAAAACCGGGCGCTTACATAACCCGCTCGCCCCACCTGCGCGACAACGCCTGCTGCTCCCGCCACCGCCCCTTAACCCTCCAGCTCCCGGCACCAGGACACAYGGACGTTCGTGCCCAGGCCGGGATCAGGGTCCTTGGATGCCAAGACCGGGATCAGGGTCCTCATGTGCCAACTGAGCAATGACCTCCCACTGGTTGAACAAGCTCCGAGCTGCCCTTTCCTGGTGGCTCCTGGATCCCGGRTCCCATTGCCGTCCCCACGGCCGCYCCGCCGGCCTCGCGCCTTCCTCCCCACCCGCAGCCACGTCCCGCGGCGGCGCCGGCCGCGGGTTTCGGCCGCGGGCAGGAATGCGGCCTTGCGCCATTCCGGGCCGCACGCCTCCGAATCTGCTCCCACTACGGCGACGGCATCACCCGGAGCCCCGTCCTGTGGGCGGCGGCTCCCGCCTGGCACGTCCCGCATTTGGGGTAGCCGCGGGAGCTCCGGGGACGCGGCGGGAGCTGGACCAGGCTGGATGCCGCAGCCCAGCCGGGCAAGGGGTGGCTGGCGGAGCTCAGCGCCCACACAACCACCCCAGCGGGAGGGTGAATCCGGAGCGTCCTCCGCTCGCGTGACACCCAGCACCGCCGTAAGCGTCGCGTGCGGAGGGGCGCCCGACGCTGGCACCGTTACCTGGCCCTTCGTGAGCGGCCAGGCTAATTGGAGCCGGGCACCAGCTGGTGGTGGCCAAAAGCCGAGCTGAGAGCTGGTGCCCCCAGCCAAGAAACCTCCTCAATACAGGGCAAAACCAGCCCAAATCAGGATTTTCTTGAGAGCAGAGCAGCCTTCTCGCTATGTAAAAACCCGYGGGCGATGCTCGGCCCAGGCGATCCTTGGCTCTGAATCCATCCCGGACGAATGCTGCCCAAATCCCTCCTGCAGGGTCCTGCCTGAATCCCTCCCGGCAAAGCCCCGGCTCCATTGGGCCCCAGCTGAGCCCCCCCGGTGCCGGCGGCCCCGCACACAYAAAGTAGGTTAGTGGGCCGAGGCGCCGGCGCTCGCCGCAGCATCCTCCACGCCGCGTGCGCCGCGCCGCTCACGTCGCCCACCCTGCTGCCTCTGATCTTATCGGCCCTGCCCGCCGGCCCAGCCACCGCTTCGGCTTTCCCAGCGCCGCCCGGCCGCCTCCGGATGCTGCGCCGGGACCGCCAGCGTTTTGGGGGCCCAAAGAGCCCCCGTGGGAGCCAGGTCCGGATTTGCCTCTTGTTTTGATCCCGGTGGCTTTCCCTGATGCTTTACCTGGCTCCTCCATCCTGTTTCTCCCTCTAGGAAGCTTCTTCCATCGGCTGCTTCGGAGCCCGCCAGGTTTTCGCAGGGCTCAGCGCGGTCGCTCCCTCCATCGCCGGCCAGCCAGGCTGAGCCTCTGCACAACTCACTGCAGGAATGAGGCTGGAGCTGGTGCTCCCAGCGGCCCAACAGCCCCCGTGGCGCTGCACGGAGCCCCCCGCATCCCTGGCATCGTCCCCTGCACAGATACCCTCAGGACAAACCSGGGGGTTTTGCTGCCGTCGCCCTCACTCGTCACGGGCAGCGTCRGGGCCCACGGGCTGCCCGGCCCGGGCTCCAGCGTCGCAATTAAGAGATAAACAGGAAAGAGAAAAGGGGGCAGATTTCGTATTCAGCCCCAATCCTCCAGAGACAGATAAAAGAAGAGGGTGGGGAGGATGCAAGGGGGGCTTTTTTTAATATATTTTTCCCACTTGTTTCTGCTGAGTTGAACATTTTTCCTCTTGCTTAGAAGATCTCCCGGCCTCCCCGGCCCCCTCCCGCTCTCCACGTTAATGAGGTTTCACTGCAAAACTCTCTGTGCCTCCGTCTTGGCCTTGAGTTAATCTCCAGATGCCTTCAAAGCAGTTTTGTTCCYGAGCTGCTTCCTCCCCACCCCAGCCCTCCCTCCCTGCTTCTTTTTGAACTTCCAAGTCACAAATTTCCAAGTTTTCCAGCGCTGCCCCGAGTTCCTGCTGCAGCATCCCAGCCATGGGGCAGGAATCTGCAGGGATGCAGGAGCCTCCAGACTCCCCACGGTTGGTCCCACAGGCAGCTGAGACCAAGGGGCTGGGGGACATGGGTGTCCCCTGCGCCAGGGCCGCTTGGTCCCAGGAAAATGGCAACTTGGGAATTTTAAATTATTATTATTTTGGAAAACTGTGGTAGTAGAAAGGTTGCACTGACTGGGAAAGGTCCCATTGACCCTGGCACCTYGGATGAGTCCCCAGTGTCACCCTGACCACAGCGGATCCAGAGGAAGCTCTGGATTCCTCCCCATCGGAGCCATGATGGGGCTGGAGCGGACGGCACGGGACATGGAAGAGAAGCTGCTCCGAGCCTGGCAAGGGGCTTTTGCAGGAGGTCAGAGGCCGGGAGCATCCAGGCTGCACACCGACCACATTGTGACACCCCACGGGTCACCCCAGGGCTCAGGCTCATGGATGCTCCCTGCTTTCTGCTCTTCTTCTCCCTTCCAGGTGCAGTTAATTAACTGCTAACCTGGGAACCTCTTTCTCCGGAGGCGGCGCGGGGAGTCTGGCCCCACGGATGCTCCGCGCCGCGTTTGCGGCTTTCTCTGCTCCGGAGAGAGCTCCGGGCGCTGCGGAGCCGCTGGGTCACGCTGCCCTAATGTGCTCAGGGCCGCCTGCTATGTTGGTACCTGCGTGTCCTGCTGCAGAGCCGATCTGGGGGCTTTAATTCCAGTTAATCCCAGCAATCCCTTAATTCCAGGGCGYGAAATAGTAAAGATCACTGGGTCAGTGGGAAAAGCTCTTGGCCAAAGTTAACGCATTAATGCGGAGAGAGGGAGAGAGCGGGAGATGGGCAGGGGGGRAGGCAAAGCTCCGGGGGCAGAGGGATCCACTTCAGCTTATCCTATTTTTAGGCTCCCCAAGGGGCCTCTACACCCATGGGGAGAGCCCAAACTGAGCCCAGAGGGTGTCCAGAAGCTCCCCCCCATCCCACGGATCCGATGGGTATCTCGGGACATCCRTAGCTCAGCTCCCTGCACTCGGCTCTCTGGCAGGAGCAAATTCGGGCGTGATTCTGTGGTGATTCCACCCGCAGCACCGGGTCGAGCCAAGCTGGGCAATCCCGGCAGCTCCCGGCCTTTTCCAGGGGCTCCCTGCAGACGTGGCCGGTGGCTCCAGGTGGACAGAGCCKCTTTTCTCCCATCCTGGATGCTCCGAGTGCTCCCTCGCGTTGTGGCTGTTGCTGAGGTCCGAATGGGAGCCAYGGGGGCAGCACCGCAGCCCCCCGCGCCGCCGAGCGCCTCTGGTTGGGGTCGGCAGCCTCCAGCCTCAGCCCCCCGAGCACCTTTTGGCCCTGGAGAAAAAGCCGCGCTCCGGGATCTAACTTTTTACACAGCCCGAGCCCGGGGCTCTRCGGGAGCCCCCGCTCACCTGGGCCCCGCTGCAGCCCCCGCATGGGACCCTCGGCCACTGCTCCTGGAGCCACTGGAGGGAAGTGGTGCCGCCTGGGGACTGCTCCTCTCCATAGGGATCTAATCCACGGCC